TAACTTACGTGGTTAGTATTTTTATAAGACTAAGGTTATTTATATTATTTTTTTACAAAAAAAAAGATTGAAATTTCATTAATGTTGTCAATTTTATGTCTTTTTGATGACATTAACAAAATTTTAATTAATTGCTTTGATATTTTAAAAACAGATTATTTAAGGTGTTTTCCACATATATGGGTTGTTTTGTAAAAATAATTAGGGTTATTTCTATTTTTTTCACTGAAAAGCTAGAAATTTCATTAATGTGCTCAATTTTATGTCTTTTTTGAGGACCTTAACAAAATTTTTAATTAATTGTTTAGATATTTTTTAATAACAGATTATTTATGGTGTTTTCCACTTATACGGGTTGTTTTGTAAAAAAATTTGGGTTATTTCTATTTTTTTTTTCACTAAAAAGCTTGAAATTTCATTAATGTGCTCAATTTTATGTCTTTTTTGAGGACCTTAACAAAATTTTAATTAATTTCTTAGATATTTTAAAAGTAGATTATTTATGGTGTTTTCCACATATATGGGTTGTTTTGTAAACAAATTTTGGGTTATTTCTATTTTTTTCACTAAGATGCAAGATATTTTATTGATATGTTTATGTGATTGTCATTATGAGGCCCTTCTCAAATATTTCTTGAGAAATTTTTATTTAATTATTTAGATCTTTCAAATACAAATTATTTGTGGTATTTATAACATATAGGTGTTGTGTTTTTAAAAATATTTGGTTTTTTTTTATTATTAATCGCAAAAAAGAGCAAGCAATTTCATTGTGTTCAATTATGGGTCATTTTGAGGTCCTTTTTTAAATTTTCTTATGGAATTTTTTAATTATTGCTTTGATCTTTTAAATACAGTTTATTTATTATATTTTCTACATATATGGGTTGTATCTAAAAAATAGGTTATTTATATTTTTAAATAAGCAAGGCATTTCTTTTACAGATTTATTTATTTGTCTTTTTGAAGTCCTTTTTCAAAATTTTTTTAAAGATATTTTAATTTATTTGATTAAATATTTTATATTTAGATTATTTATAGTTTTTTTAACATATAGGGGTTGTATTTTGTATTTTAGAAAATTATTTCTATTTTTTACCTCAAAAAAGCATGCTTTTTCATTGCCGTATCCAGCGGTTGGTCTATTTTTGAAGCTTTTTAATGATAACTGGTTTTGTACATTAATTTTTTGGTAATATAATATTATGATTTTAGTTTTTTAAAATCTTTTAACATATCTGAAGGTTATTTTGAATTAAAAATTTAAAAATTTTGATTTTTACCTCAAAAAGACAGGAAATTTTTATGCTTTGTTTAGAAATTGCTGGTTTTGAAGCTTTTGTTATTAATCTCAATCTAAATTTTTTTTCAGAATATGCCTCGCCATAGCCGACGTTTACTTGGTAGGAATACGGCTGCTTCCAGGAGATATAGGAATGCTAGAGCTATTGAGACACCACTTCAAAGTGAGACGCGTCGTGCGCTTCGCCGTCTTAGGTATTCTGAAGCCCGCGTCGCAGCTACACAAACTATGCAAGTTCCTGTTCAGCGTATTCAGCTTTGGACTCATAAGCCGTTTTCAGGTTTGCAGTATAATGCCCATATTGATTATAAAGCTGATTCATCTGTCGATATAGGCCAAATGTCTCGGGTATGCCAGTTTTGCTCTGCTTTGAGATTTAAAGATGAACCCTTTGGCCTCTGTTGTAAACAAGGTAGAGTTTCTCTACCTGCTATTGAGTCCCCTCCAGAACCTATTTTCTCTTTGCTCTCTGGCCAACATCCTCTATGTTTCTAATGTCCTCTAATGTACATAGATGCTTTGCTCATATATGGTTGTCCCTTTTAAAGCGCTAATAAGATCTGCAACTGTTGTAACTGTAAATATGCATATTTGGTGTGGTATTACAAAAGTTTCAATAAATATATATTTTAAATATTTTCTCTTCAAGCCCATCATACACACATGCTAAATTTTTCACATGTTTCAATGTGTAGGGTTTTAAACCTTGATGGTAAGGTATTCTTACTTAAGAAGTATACTGTGTTAGAAAAATTTATGGTTTTTAATTATTGGTTATTTTTTATTGTGTTTATTTTACATACATGTGTTTATATTACATAGTATGTGTTATTTTTTTGATAATTTGATTGGAAATATTAGTTTTAGCACAATTTGCTTCATACCGTAATGTTATATCTGTGTTGGCTTGCTGAACAATACTGGCCCAACATGAATTTACCTATGTTTACCCAAATTACCATTTTAGAATAAGTATACATCTTGCACCTAATAAGAGACCTAAACAATGTGTAAGGTTGAACAAAGAGTGGTCTAACATACACATTGTTTAGGTTTCAGTGAACAAAGAGGTCAGTAAATTTTATTAGAAAAAAAAATCTATTCCATGTAATGTAATAGAAACAAAATAAACCTCATCCTACCTAATATACATTACTTCTGAGGATTAAAGATTTTGATTTGTGTTGAGAATTTTGCATGCATTTCTCTATTTCTTTTCTTATCTTGCAAAGCTAATGGATTGTTTAGGTTGCTTATTTTTGACTCGCCAATTTGTTTAGTGATAAAGTGGTATAGCGTTCTTTTTCAGAGCATCACCCTACAAAAAAATTACCTGACCTTTCCTAATATTCAGATTGATTTATTATATCAACATACTAGACTACAAACATTCCCTCGAGTAAAACCCGGGCGGAGCCGGGTACACCCGCTAGTATATAATATAATGCGGCTTGTGATTGTAAAACGACATTTGAAATACTATCCCGTATGTGTTTCTTTTCAGCGAAAACTCAAAATCCATTTCAAGGAGAAATACCGATTATTTCTAACCTTTTGGATAAGGTATGAAAGGGTGAATTGTGAAGAGTAATGATAAACGGAAAAATGAAAGTGTCCAGGGATGGGAATCGAACCCACAGTGTTCCGCTTACCGGGCAGATGCCATGTCCACTAAATCTCCAGGGTAGCCTAGTGGACATGGCATCTGCCCGGTAAGCGGAACATTGTGGGTTCGATTCCCATCCCTGGACACTTTTATTTTTCTGTTTATCATTACTCTTCACAATTCACCCTTTCATACCTCATCCAAAAGGTTAGAAATAATCGGTATTTCTCCTTGAAATTAATTTTGAGTTTTCGCTGAAAAGAAACACATGCGGGATAGTATTTCAAATGTCGTTTTACAAATATACATATATATTAAAAACAAAGTAGGCATATCTCCTGATCAGGAGCACATGTGCTTTTCAGAAGGCAAGAGCGCATATGTATGTTTTTTCATACGTATATATGTAAATATATACAATGTCGTCATTGGTGGGGCCCACCACGTGACAGACTCCGCCACCAATGGACTGCATAATAGAGATTCTTTTTGAAACGAGACAATTTGGAAAGAATAAGAGAAAATGAAAGAAACATTCACGTCAAAAATAGTTTCAATTCCTCATAACAGATGGCGCGCTAATTCATCAAATCGGGTAAATAATGTGGGTGGAGATATACTCATTTTAATGCTTTAGAAGTAAAAATATGTGTGTTTGACAATTGAAACAAATTTTATTGACTTCTTGTCAATAATTTACATTAAGAATGGGGAGAAATAAATAAACTAAAATACAGATGATCATGCGGGGGATGTGCCCCGGCGGGTGAACCCTCTTTCACAGGTGATGAGCGGGTCCTCTTCTGCTCCTCCGGTCAGCCCAACCTGTACGAAGTACCGGTAGATGATGGATTTGGCCGACGCCAGGATGGCCAAGTCGTCATCTTCGAGGCCAGACCCGAAAATCCAGGCCTGCAAGTCAGGGGGTCGCCCAAGGACACTGAAGGCTTCGATGAGGATTGCATTTTAAAATACAATAGAAGCGTTCTTCAAATTAAAGATACTTCGGGCAGTAAATCTTTTTTATTGTCTCGACGTTTCGACAAAAATATTTTGTCCTCGTCAGGAGCAAACAAAATTAAAACATTTAACAAAGCGTTAAATTTAACGCTTTGGCGAATGTTTAAATTTTTGTTGTGTTCGCTCCTGAGTCGAGACAATAAAAAATATTTACTGGCCGAAGTATCTTTATTTTGAAGATCTATGAATTTCGGCCAGGCAGCCTATATCTTTACGACAATAAAAGCGAATAGGGAAGTTTACAGAGTAGGCAATTATTGTTGGGGGAAAATTATAGATTCGCAGGGGAGAAAGTTCCTTTATTACTTAAAGGTATAAAACAATAAGGAAGGACAAGAGATCAAATTATATATACATCAGCAGCTCACGCCGGCCTGTCCTATCCAATAATCGCTAGCCAACCAACAATCCAACAAAGCTGTGATATATAGACACAGATGTCAATTTGTCAAATTATATTGACAAATATTTGCACTCTTATCATATCTTATCTCAGGTTTTATTGGAAAGAATTTTATTTTAGTTTGTTTGTGAACCAATTTCTCCCGCTTTCTCATTGGACGAATGTGGCCATGTTTGTATATAAACCGACCTCTACACCACAGACCATGCTACAAGAAACCTCAGAAGAGTAGCTGCATCTCCTAGTCTTCTAATCTCAATTCTCCCAAAACTAAAATATTGCAACATCACCTCTACAATTCTGACAGGACATGGCTTCGTTCAAGCCGACATCGCCAGAACCTCCAAAAATAACGACCCCGTATGCCAACACTGTCACCAAGAAAATCAAACAGTCGACCACCTCCTATTCAGTTGCCCATCCTACCGTCTTCAGAGATTCCAGACTGCAACTCTACTTAGCACCAGCACATTCAACCAAGAAGCATTGAAGAACCTCCCTAACAATAAAACAGCCTGGCGACATCTAATCAGTTTGATGTCAACTGCAACAAATAGATAATAAGTCAGAAGACAAACCCGGACAGTTGGCGACTTTCGTACGCTCCAGGAGTCCGGGTTATGTACAAAATAATAATAATAATAAATAATTGCGAGAGGTTTTTAAATGGGGATGTAGCTCAGTGGTAGAGCGTTCGCTTCGCATGTGAAAGTGTCTTTTCTTTGTTCAGCCTCAAAGCACGTCAGAGCATTTATTGAGGGTATATCATCATCCTCATCATTGTATGCTTCTTCCGATTCAAGTTGGAGAGGATTTCGAGAAAGACAGTCGGCATCTTGGTGTTTGCGTCCAATTTTATAAACAACGGTTACATTGTATTCTTGGAGTTTTAAAGCCCATCTTGCTAGTCTTCCTGTCGGGTCCTTCAGGTTAGATAACCAGCAAAGAGCGTGGTGATCAGTGACGATGACAAACTCACGACCAAAAAGGTACGGTCGAAATTTGTTGATGGCCCATATTGCGGCCAAGCATTCTCTTTCCGTTGTTGAGTAATTCTTCTCCGCCTTAGATAAAGTTCTTGAAGCATAACCAACTGGCCGCTCCTTCCCATCGTTGATCTGTACGAGGACAGCTCCAATTCCATAACCGCTGGCGTCAGTATGAAGCTCGGTTGGCAGTTGTTCTTCGAAATAGGCAAGGACAGGTTCAGACATCAATGCTTCTTTCAAGGAATCAAAAGCATCCTGTTGGTCAGAGTTCCACGTGAATTTATTATCTTTTTTGAGGACTTCGTGTAGAGGAGCAGCTTTCTCAGCAAAATTTTCGATAAATCTACGATAATAGGAGCATAAGCCAATGAAGCTTCTCACATCTGTTATAGATTTTGGGGTCGGAAACCTGGCGATAGCTTCAATCTTTTCTGGATCAAGATAAATACCTTTACTATCGACGAGGTGTCCAAACACTCTTATTCGTTTGGTTCCGAAAAGGCATTTTTTGGGGTTGAGGCGTAGCTCGGCTTTGTCGAGACATTGTAGTATGATTTCAAGCCGGTGTAAATGTTCGTTGAACGATTTGGAATACACCACGATGTCGTCTAAATAACAGAGGGCCATCGTCCATTTCAGGCCATTCACTATCTTGTCTATCATGCGCTCGAATGTTGCAGGGGCATTACACAGGCCAAAGGGCATGACCAGGAATTCATAGAGTCCGTCAGGGGTAATAAAGGCAGTTTTTTCTCTATCTGCTTCGTCGACTTCTATTTGCCAATATCCTGAACGAAGGTCCATTGATGAATAAAATTTGGCTCCTTTCAGGGAGTCAAGTGTATCATCGATTCGAGGTAGTGGGTAAACGTATTTTTTAGTAACCTTGTTTAGTCGTCTGTAATCCACACAGAAACGCCAGTTACCATCCTTCTTCTTCACTAAAATAACCGGCGATGACCATGGACTTTCTGAATGACGTATAATCCCGGCGTCTAGCATTTTGTCCACTTCCATTTGGATTGCTTGGCGTTCTGTAGGGGAGACTCGATTTGGTCTATGCTTAATAGGCTGATGGATTCCAGTTTCAATTTTATGTTTGGTTACTGAAGTTTGCTTTACAGGTTCATTATTTTTATCAAATATTTTATCATGTCGCTTTAAAATTGATAAGATTTGAGACTGCTGCTCCTCTGATAAATCATCACTAATTAGATTTTGTAAAAATTTAAAGTCACCTTTATCAGCATGACTGGCATGATTCACATCTTTCACCTCCTTATTAAATTCAGAACATTCTGAAATAGCCGTCAAGTTATTTTCCTCAACCCTTTGAATTTTTCCCAGGCACATTCCCTTAGGGACTATTTGAGCTGTGGTGCCAGAATTTACGATCCAAAGTTTTCCTTTATTATGGGAAAGCCTGAATAATACACAGGGAAGTGTTAACCCTTTTCCTCTTGATACCTTTTTCGAAGGTTCAAAAAGTACCTGATTTTGCCCATTAAGCTCTTCACTCATAACATTTATTAGTTTGGTAGATTCGGCTGGGATTACGACGCTTCTGCTAGCCACAACCTTTCCCATGGAAGCTGGTGAATTTAGTACATCTTTGGCCTCTTCCAATCTGATTTCGGCGCGTCCACAATCAATCACGGCATTTGATGCCTCTAGGAAATCCCATCCGAGGATAATACTTGGGTTACTATTAGGGAGGACGATAAACTCAAGCGGCTGTTCCAATCCATTGATGCTCAAGCTGATTGCGCATCGGCCGATCGATGTAACATTCTTGCCATCAGCAACTTTCAGAGTCATTCCGCTATCCTTGAACATGGTCTTTTTTAATTGTCGTCTTAATCCATCAGAGATAACCGAAAAAGAGGAACCCGAATCGACTAGAGCAGAAAACGCAATGTCATCAATGATGATTTCGACATAATTTTGTTGTAATTTAGCGGCTGTCGACGATGGAGGGTTTTTCACACCCGCGGCTTCCCCCTCGAAAGAAGACGCGACGCTTAGTTTTTTTCTAGATTGTAGCGGCGTGGGGATTGGTTTGTATGGCGGCCTGGGGAAATGGACTGGCGTCTTGGGGATCTTCCTCTGTTTGGATACGGCGATTGTCTGCGGTAGGTTTGGCTTCTTATGGCTTGGTGGTTACCCATTTGAGGTTCTTGGGTGCTTGGTGCATGTCCTTCGGGTCTCTGCGTCTATTGTCGGCGTTCTCTACAATATCGCTTAACATGGCCTGGGCGGCCGCAATTAAAACATATTGGGATGTTGTCATGCGTCCTCCATTCATCCGTTCTTCGTTGTGGTGGCGTCTGGTTATATATGGGTGTTTGGGTAGGGTACTGACGTCGTGGAACCTGGTTGAATGTACGTGTTTGGTTGGGGTACGACTGTCGTGGTGGAGGCCTTTGAATAGGCTTCGAAATTGCAGCTACGTTTTTTTCAATCTCTTCTCGGATAATCTCTTTCAGAGAAGATGGCTCAGGGGTAGTTGACTTCGGATTTAGTGCGCGATGAACCTCTTCACGCACGATGCGTCGAACCAAGTCTTCCATTGATTCAGAGTCTGCTGAACCGATGGCAGCAACATTCGGTAGTCTGTCGAATACTACACGTTTATTTACACGTTTTTTATTTGAAGCCTCGATTTTTCGGCACCATTTGATGAACTCATCGATAGTTGCGATGTCTAAAATGATCATTGACTGATATATCTCCTCCGATATTCCTTTCGTCAAGTGTGCGATTATTTAATTATCCATCATAGCCGGATCTACTTCTCTGCACAGATGGAGAACATCTTGAATGTATGAATCACTGGTCTCCTCCTTCCCCTGAGCTCGAGTTTTGAGGTTCTCTGCGAGCTGATCTTTTTGGGTGACATGATGTCCGAAATTCTGAGAAAACATTTTCACAAAAATATCCCATGAATTAATTTTCTCTTCAACATTTTCGTACCATCTGTGCGCTGTTCCTTGGAGGAAAAAATAAACATTTGCGAGGCACATTGAATCATCCCAGCAGTTATAGCGGGCGACGCGATGGAACTCCTTCAACCATTTTTCTGGATTCTGGTTGCGTTCTCCAGTAAAAATAGAAGGGTTTCTAAAAGGTTGAAAGTGGTACTCACTCATTTTTGTCTGTGTCTCTTGATTGACCATAGCGATTATTTCCTCAGGTTCTAGTCCTTGTAGTCTTCGGCTTCTTCTAATGGCTTGGGCGTCGAGGGAATATTCCAGCTTCTCCACCAGTTGTCACGGCAGAGATAACGAGTATTACAAAAGTTTAAGTAAAAATAGTTCATTTAGAAAATGCAAAACTATTTCTAAAAATTTATTTACAAGTAAAATATATAAGAATCGTAAGGAGTGATGACTATGAAAATATTAATGATGATATACCACAGAATATTTAAAATAATTATTCAGTGACAATATCCAATCAATACCCATTATGCCGGTCTGACGGCCATAAAGGGCTACTGACCGCAATATCAGTTTTACAGAGAGTAACCCGAGCGTTCTAGCAATATCCAATCAATCCCCGTTATGCAGGTCTCACGGCCATATAGGGCTGCT